GAATGTGACTCTCTTTTTTTCTCTGTCTCTCCAGAGGACATCGACCCAACTGTTGGAAAGTTCCGTAACATGGTCCAGACCACCATCCTGCCTAGCAAGAAGAGACGGCTCTCCAGCGACCCAGCCACCCCACCACCCTTACCTCCCTCACCTCCCTCCCTCCCTCCCTCCCTCCTCTACGGAGCTCATTCCTCCCTCTTCCTCCTCCCCTCACCCCGTCTCTCCCTCGGAGTCTCAAGTCACGTCTCCTACTCTTGGGTTCTCCTCCTCTCTCATCACTAAAACAATCACTGCTGGTATGTGTATGTGTGTGCAGTAGTCTATAACTCAGTACACAGACACTACGGAAGAATTCAGTAGTGGAACAAAAAGGACAAAAGTACCGGAGATGAAAACATAATTATGTAGGAGAAATACAAAACTGTAAAAACTGTGGTTTCCACTTTTCCGTGGTATCCACTGTTCACTGTACAAAAGGCTGTTCAGATTATGGTGTTTTGTCGGACTCGGAACCGAAGAAGAAATATGCAGAAGAGGCGTGGCCTGGGAAGAAGCCTACTGCTCATTTACTGTTATAATTGCACATGATATCAATCAATGATAATTAACGCATACTGAAGACATTTGTGGTCCCTTCAGATGTGCAGTGCAGTATGCATGTACACTGTGGCCATTAATGATGAACTACAAGTTGTTAAAAGTCTTGTGAACAATTGCTGATCCAATTAGACTAGTCGGATGATAGTCTGGTGTCTCGGTTTCCGCGAGTTTTTCCAATTAGCGCACATCGGGAAAGCCCCTCCTCACCTCCCACACGTCTCTCTCGAGATGTCGGTGGCAGCGGACGTCTCTGACTGGATCGCCACTCCTGCTCCACTCAATAGAAATAAGTGTGGAGAGAACGCAGTGTTTTCAAGTGATAGCTCCAGCGTCCAGCGGCGAAATCCTTATGACTTGGGATATAACTGTGTCTGTTACACAGTCCATCCCCTGCCTCCAGGGCAGGTGTGGCAGACCACCGTCCTTGAGACTACCACTAAGTTGAGTTTTGGACTGGTGAGTGGATGTGTACCAAGTCTCCTATATACAAAGACCAGTAAACACAGCTCCACTATGACAGCTACAGTTTGTAACATATTGTGTTGTGTATGCAGGATCCTCATCTAATATGAGTGATCATGTCTTTTGAGCTCATGTTCAATTTTTGTTGTAAGTATTAATGCGTAAAGTGCCTGACTTGACGAATGCATTTTCAGTAAAGTGTTAACCGAGAATCTGTTTAGTGTATTGTGGCCAATTCAGAAGACTAGGTATATAGGCTTTACCTTGCTTACCAATTATGAACATGACAGCCTTGTGGGACAATATGTCATCCTCTCCTTCACTCTATTGTTTGGTAGAGGAGAGGTCCTTGGGAATGAGCTACCCACCACCCAGTTCTCTAGGCTGGGCATCTGGTGTCCCACTCTCGTGTACAACATGTCGTGTAGTGTATAATTGTACTGTTGTGTGGTGTTCATTAACGGCCCTTAGTAAAATTAATGTGAGTTTCTACGACATATTTTAATAAACAAGTTCTCACATGTGTACTACAGACACACTCCTAGATCTTCCATGGTCACCAGTCTATCTGACAGCACTGTACCTCTAGAGAGAGAGAGGGAGCAACTGTTTGTGATCACTGCACACACAGACACACACTCCATGCAGCCAGTACTTTGCCATACATACTACATACAGCCTACAAAGTCCTAATGGTCTTCTCCATGTCTAGAATTAATTAAGGTGAGAAGATAGGATAGTGTCTACTACTGTTTAGGCACATGTCTCTTTATCCTGTGTATTATGATATGTAACAGTGGGTGTGTCAACAGATATTCATTACAGTCACATGTCACACTAGGATTCCTTATTCACATCAGAATGAAATATTATACTATGTGTAGTTAGGTACCTCGTTGCTTTTTACATACTTTATATATGATAATATACATTCACACATGTCTCTTTCTCAATTAGTAACTACCTAATGTCAATGTTATTAAGTCTCTCCATAATATTCTGGTTCTCTCTGCATTATTGAGAATTGCTAATTAATTTTTCCTAGTCAGTGACAGTACTATTTGTACATGATATGTTACGTGATTACATATTTTCTCAGACTGTTGGAGTGACTGCCACTCTACCTGATGTGGTGCCTTCTGTCCTACCATGGGATGGGTCTGGACCCCATGAGTGGAACTATGACGGCACATCATTATGGCACAATGGGAGGACGCTGTCTTCAGGTCTTCCTGGTCTCGACGATCTCAAACCTCATCAAAGAGTCGGACTTCTTCTCACTGCTAGTGGTGATCTTCATGTCTTCATCGATAGACGCCACGTGAAAAAGGTAGCATAACGGGCTCGGGGAGTGTCAGCATGCTCACAATGTGTACAGAATTATGTATACCATTCCTTATATACCATCCCTATCTCGTCTCTCTTCCTTTTCCACATATTATTTAAAGGTAGCATCTGGTCTGCCAGTAAACAACCATCTGTGGGGAGCAGTGGGTGTGAGTTACAACTGTACCAAGATCAAATCTGAGCTACTGAGTGGTGAGCATAGCATTCATGTTATCTGTATGCATGTATTTTTAGCATAATATGACAGTATAAAATCAAGTACTAATTGACATGTAAATTCATAGATGTTGTAAAAAACATATCCGTTTATACGCATGTAGGTGTTGTGTGCAGCTGTAATTTTGTCTCCTAGGAAACAGTATTGTGAGATTCTTGTGCATGTATGCATGGTCTGTATGTATATACACTGTTGCTATATGCTGTATACTGGGACTGGTACATAGTAAGAGGATTTGTACATCTAGTACATTTTTAGAAGGGAAGGTCAGGCAAAATAATTTCCACAGCTGCATCTCATGGTCCAATGTCTGCTACATTTGTTATTTACAAGTATAATTATACACCTATGTGTGTATGTGTAGAGTGTTGTGTGTTGAGCATAGTGCATGGGCAGGCACTCAGGCACTGCATATTTCTCAAGCAACGGCCTATGTGGTCATGTGAATCACATTTACACAGCGACATGTGCTGAAGAACACAAATGTAATTTGTTATGAACCATGACATCTCCCCAACTGTGCATGTTTGAAAAATGCACATTGAATTATGTGATTGATGTGGTCCCTTCTTTTTATCTATGCAGCAATTACATGCTCCGACTTTGCATGTAATTATTAATATGTTTTGTAATTATTATCACAGATGCGAACAAAAACACATGTATGGTGTATGGAGTTAAAGTACAGTATGGTGTTTTGCATGCACAGCGAGGGTACAGTAGTTGGGTCTGTGTGTCTGTGTGTACATGTATGAATGTATTTTTAATTATTTGTACACACAGTATAAAATCAACTCTCTTTGTATATTATACTAGTCAAGATGTGCATGCATAGATGTTATGATAATTTTCCAGTTTATACAAGTTTATATAGTAAATTTTGGAGTACTTTATACTAGGACATGTAGGTGTTCTGCAGCTGTAATTGTCTCCTAGGAAACAGGATCCTTGTGCATGTATGCATAGTCTGTATGTAACTGTGTTTTTGGCTATACTGTATACTGGGATTGGTACAAAGGATTTGTACAGCATGGTAACATGTGGGAAACATGCATTCTAGTACATTTTTAGAAGGGAAGGTCAGGCAAAGAAATTTCCACTGCTACGTCTCATGGTCCAATGTCTGCTACTTTTGTTGGACTGTTTTAGACGTGTTTATCCATAAGCATCGACTCATACAGTTACCACCCAGAGCTTTAGTGCAGGAGAAATGCACTGATAGTTAATCACGTGATCCATGTGGTCCTATTATTTGTGACCGAAGCAAGCCTACCTATAGTCCTCAGAATGCGGGATATCCTGCATGTGTGCGGGGACGGACACTGAACATACAGTAAGGTTGTATTTACGTGATTCTAAATACACGCGTTAAAAAAAACTGCTCGAGCTCGCTTACCAAAAATGTGTGGCTTTCGTGTCTTCATGTTGGTGTTTTGCCCCACATACATATTAGCAGTTGTAAGTTGATCCTCTTCATCATTGGCCTACTTTCCAGTAAACCCTTTAAATTAGGTATTTGTAACCTGCATTCACAAAAACAAAAACTTGTGGTACACATGTATGGTGTTAAATTCATGTAGTGTTTTTTGCCTACATCAATTACTACTTTCTTAAGGCATAAGCTATGCAACTTGGTGTAAGATTGTGTGACCTCACAGTGTGTTGCTTACCCACCAGTGTTTTAGGAGCAATTAAAGGAGTCGACTGACCACTTGCCGCACATTCACTTCCAAAAGACTATTTGCCTAAGTATATGCACTTCTGCCTCATCAGACCACACTCAATACCACTTCAATTACGACATTCTTTGCATACTTTAAGTAAATTTTGGAGTAGTTTATGTTTCACCAGTTCACCCTTCAACACTGTGCCTATAAGTATAGTACTTCATCTTTGCTCCTACATTTTATGATCATTTCAGATGCAACAGCAATCTTGAGAGAAGCTTGGCTGGGCTTTTAGTATGCGTTTACTCGTGGTCTCCACACTAGTAGCTCGCGGAGAGTCTGACACGGGCTAGCTACAGTAGTAGATAGCATGCGGGAGTCGATAAACGCCCTTCGTTGTGACTTCATGTGCCTGCAAGGTACACAGAGCAAACGGACGCGGTCGAGGTAAGCCTGTGCTAATTTACATATTGGCTTTTCCTCCGTAACTTTTGAACGCAGTAGTTGTACGAAAATCGCCTTTTTTAAAATGAAGCCAGTGCAGCGATGAACCCGTTGGTATCTCTGTTTTGTTGTCTCGTTGCGTGTAGTCGCAGAAAACGTGGTAACAGACGAACGGACAGACAGACGGCTGGACAGACGGACACACTGATGAACCAAGTACTGTAACCCTCGCTGCGCATGCGTGCCGAGGGTTAATTACTATATTCTTAACCCACATAAGGCATAAGCTACGTATGCAAGTTGGTGAAAGATTATGTAATACTTCACCTAGGCAACAATATAGGGATTGTGTGATGGGGTTGGGGGTGTCAGCGTACTCAAATCTGTTCATTAACCATGCTTCATATATCCCATCCCTATCTTGTCTCCCTTTCTTTTTATACCATCCCTATATGCCTCTTTTTTTAAATTCGCAGGATTTTTTATTTACTTGTTTTTAATATTATTTGTACACACAGTATAAAATCAACCCATTTTGTAAATTATACTAGTCGTGTCATGCATAGATGTTATATAAAGTTTATTGGCATGGCAGGACATCTAGGTATGTATTTTGTGCAGCTGTAATGAAAAGCACTAAAGTGCAAACCCTCGGTGCACTTTGGATGCAGGCTAATTAATGGGGTGGGCTTCCCCTAGTAGCCTCCCGGAGACTCTGACAATGCACACTTGTAGATAATATGCAGGCGATACACGCCCTTTGTTGTTACTTCTGTAGCGCATGTGCATCATTACTGGATACGACGTCACTGGTATTGTGTATAAATCCTTGCGTTCTTGTATCGTATCATATGTTATCCAAGTTGGCCTTCTGTCAGCTTACTTACCATGTTATGTAGTACAGTTATGCTATGTTCGTGCCTTAGGATAAGCACTGGCCAATTTGCAAGTATCTGGATATTCTCTCTCTCTCACCAGATCCATCAGCTCAGATGACAGATGAGAGGGCTCAGGAGATCATAGACAAAGCAATGGAGTCAGGTAGTTTGAAGCAGAGGGATGTGGTGGGTGTCATTACAGGTCTGATGGAATCAGGGAAGACCACTCTCTTGCACCATCTCTTTGGCATGGAACTGCCCCAATCGTACACCAGCACAGGTGTTGCCGAGCGGTCGCTTCGAGGTTTTAGGATGCATTTGACAGGTGGTGTTTGGCGGTGTATCTCTTTTGAGGACATTCTCAAGCATCTTGCTCCTCTTATCCGTGCTGGGATGAAAGAAGAGGATGTCCGCTCTCTTGCTAAGCGTCTAATGTACGATATCCAAAGTGGGCAAGAAAACCCTACTCCTCCAAAGGCTAGTGCTCCAGAACCACCTCCTCCAAAAACCCCTCAGGAACCAAGCCCAGGCTGCAAGGAACTAGCTCCACTTGTCGTCAAAAAACCAACAGCAACACCTCTTCCAGAACTCGAGCTGGTGCACATGATAGACACAGGGTGGACAGCCTGAGCTGATGGAAGTGATGCCATCTCTCATTCATAATGCCAACCTTGCAATGGTGCTAGTGGATCTCAGATACACCCTCGATGAATATCCACCGGTCAAGCACCACGAGAAAGATGTGCCTCTCTCGCGCGGCTTTCCTTCTCGCTACACTGGCAAGGACATCATCATGAAGCTTCTGTCCACCTTGCATGCCAAAAAATCCATCAAAGAAGCTTTCCTCTTTATAATTGTGGCCACACATCGTGATTGTGTTAAGGACGACCTTGATGCTCGAGTGAATACACTAAATACTGAGCTTCAGAGGCTCTTACTCCCTGCATTTAGAAAACGAGTTGATTATATTTAAAGAGCCAAGCGAGATTGCCTTTGTTCTGGACTTGAAGACCCCAGATTATCAGGATAAAAAGGCCCTTGAGCTGATTTGCAAACAGATTAGCCGGGCAAGTTTGGGAAACGCTTTCGACACACCAGCTTCTTTCTTTGTGTTTGAGCAAGATCTCGTCAAGTTTGCGGAAAAAGATGCAAAACGTGACATTCTGAGCCTCGAGGAATGCAAGCAGGTTGGTGCACGGCTACGAATGAATGCCGAAATGGTGGAAGCGGCTTTGATCCTCTTTCATCGCCAGAACACCTTCCTTTACTTTCGCAATGTTCTCCCAAAACACGTCTTTGTCAAACCCCAAGTCCCTCTTGACATAGTCAATGGTATTGTTCGTTACAGCTACAAAAAGCTGCAGGGTGTCCCAGCAAATGTGGCCTTACTCAAAGGCACAGGCACTGTGACAGAAGAAATGCTTAGCTATGATGAGGTTTCGCCTCACTTCAAAGAAGGTTTTTACGGAGTTAAAGATGCCATCAAGCTTTTTTGTCACACCCTTACATTAGCTCCACTGGAGCCCGACACAGCTGAGAATGCAGCTACCCCAGTTGATGGCAAGAAGAAAGAGTACCTGATGATGTGTTTGAGGCCTGCCATTCCTGATACGGAACTCCATAACCACATACCTGAATCTTCTGACCCACTAGTCGTGAAGTTTAGCAGTGGCTGTGTTCCCCTCGGCTGCTTTGGCAGCACCATCTCCTGTCTTCTCTCCAAGTACGGCTGGGTAGTTCGCAGGATAAAAGGTGGTGCTGTCAAATGTCTTGCCCAGAACATTGCCTCTCTGCGTGACCCACAACTTCTTGTGAATGTCGTTCTTGTTGACCGCAACCAATACATTGAGATCCACATCGACTCGAAAAAAGTATCCATGATCTGCCCCGCAATACTTGCAGTGAGCTTCGCACAACCGTTTTTGGTGCAATTGAAAAGGTCTTCGATATCATGCGCCTGAAGAAAGATCAAATCAAAATCTCACCTGCCGTTGTCTGTTCCTGTGGAGAGGTGGAAGATCCGCACCATGCAAAATTTGTTAAACCTCGTACCAGTATGAGTTACTTCCTTGAATGCCTTGAATGCCCCAGGAGACCCCGTTAAACCCAACGATAAACAGTTGCTGTGGGTGGGAAATGCTGCATCTAACACCGAGCCAACCCTTCCTCAATTGATGCGTCTCCAAATCCCAGAAAAAGTTGGAGTAAACACAGGTTTGAGAGACAGGTTTCATAGCATAGAGGTTTGCCTTTGCCTTGTGTTGTGTTGGTATTTAGCCTTGCCTGCTTAGCAGCCCTGGTATTCTGCCTAGGGAGCATTTGCCATTGGGTTCGAGTCCCAGCTCATTGAAAGAGTGGTGTTGTTGATTTGTTTCACCTTGCCTTAGGTTTAGCTACACCCCGAGATTCATTCAAGTATGCTTCCAGCTACAGTGACAGCTACTGTTTCTCCTCGCAGGTCCTGAAAAGAAGACAAAACCAAGACGACAGAAAAAAGCCACCGCAGCTCCTCCTATATCAAGTATGTATTTTGATCTGTCACAGAAATTGTCAATACTTTTAGAGAGAAAACTATACTCAAATTGCACTTGAGAATGATTCCCACTGTTTTTCAAATGCAGTCATAGGTGATCAACCAACCGACTGACTTTGATAGATTTGCCTTTATGAGTTGGAGCATATTGCGACAAAAATAGGCCATGCAGGACCCTGACACCTTATCCAGCATGTTGCCAACCTATTGAACCTAGTCTAATGAAAAGCACTAAAGTGCAAACCCTCGGCGAACTGTGCATGCGCGGTACCATTAATTGATGGGCTGGGCTATATAGTGTGCGTTTACTCATTGTCTTCACGCTAATAGCACGGGCTAGCTACACTAGTAGATAGCATACGCCATTAGTTGTGACTACTTGAGCCTCCAAGGTACACAAAACGAGCAGGTTAAGCCCAGGACGATATGCATATTAGCTTTTTCGCTTGTTTTCATGGCATATCTCTGAAACGCAGTCGTTTCAGGAAAATGGCCTAATTTTTTTCGGGCTCGCGTAGTTCTGCAGACGTTGGTATCACTCACTGGCCGCCTCGTAGCCTGTAGTGCGAGAATAGCTGCAGACAGACAGGCAGTCACACGCACAGAACGAATATAGGTTACACTATACCCACGAGACGGTTTAGTGGACATACACTACGAGTGCGCAGCACCAGTAGTGTATGTCCACTAAACCGTCTCGTGGGTATAGTGTAACCAATTTGTACCACAGGAATGTGCACTAAGACAACTTATTAGTTGCATGCCATGGTGTATGGTGTGCTGACTCAGCCATACACTCACATGTGGGGTGTATGGCTGGTTTTGGTCGTAGTATAGCGGAGTTGCGGCGGATTTCCCGACTGTAAGGGGCATGTATTGCCTTCGCATGCTACCAAGTAGTGTAGCTAGCTCCTGTCTCACTCTCCACGAGCATGCAAGAGACCACGAGTACGGTGGTATAACCCAGCCCATCAATTAGTGGTACCGCACATGCGTTTATGTGCTTGGTAGTGCGCCGAGGGTGTGCACTTCAGTGCATTATTTTGTAATTATAATCACAGATGCCAACAAAAGCACATGTATGGTGTTGAATTACACTATGGTGTTTTTGCCTAAGAAAACAGACCACCAATTACTACATTATTTGCATAGTTGCTTGAAGAACTAAAGTGCATATCCTCTGGAAACTGTGCATGCACAATATTGCTAATTGATGGGCTGGGCTATGTGTATGCATTTACTTGTGGTGTCCCGCTATTAGCTCGCGGAGAGTCTGACATGAGCTAGCTAGTAGTAGATAGCATGCCATTCGTTGTGACTTCTTGTGCCTTCAAGGTACACAGAGCGAGCGGATCAGGTCGCAGTAAGCCCAGTGCAATTATGCATATTGGCTTTTTCGCTTGTTTTCACGGCATATCTCTCGAACGCAGAAAATCGCCCTTTAATTTTTCAGGCTCGCGTAGTTCTGAAGCCGCTGGTATCGCTAATAGGCCGCCTCGTAGCCTGTAGTGCCAGAATAAGCGTCGACACACAGACAGACAGACAGACAGACAGACAAACCAACTACTGTAACCCTCGCTGTGCATGCGCGCCATATTATGTATGTACTGGATGAGAACTAAATGAACTTGTGCAGCATCTGGTCAAAGAAAAAAGGAAAAGAAATCCAAGAAGAAGGCTGTAACGACCCCTCCTCTAACAAGTATGCCTCTATTCTCTATACAACACTTCTGTACATTCTGAAAATACATGACATGCTATTCAAATGTATATTACTTGTTTTCCTGTCTCCTCCAGTCTCAGATGTAGTGCCTACAATGCCACAATTGGTCAAGATTAAATTGCCCTCACGAGTTGGGCCCAAAGTGAGTGCATTTGGTACCATTCTTCTCAAAGACGACCTCGGGAACAAGATGGCCAACACCAGAAAGAGGTTACATGAAGACCCAGAGGAAATGGTAATGGAGGTTCTGAGGGAGTGGCTGGCAGGGAAGGGGGTGGAGGTGTCGTGGGAGAGCCTCATAGCAACTCTGAGAGACTGCGAACTTTCACTTATGGCCGACCAGATACAGATGGCACTGGACCAACTAAGATCTTGATGCATTCTGTTCCTAATTTTTCATGTTGACAATGTATTATGTTTTAGTAAATTATTTTTTATAATGGACAATTTTTGTATCACTCCTTGTTTTTTGTCTCATCTTTTTTGACATGGTTGGCTCTGGTCTGACAGGAAAATTACATTAGTGTGTGATATGCTTGTACATGAATTTTTTTACTTTTTACTCCGCGCACATTCCAAGTATCCGAAGGTGCAGACTTCCGTATATTATAGGCCCAACGGTTCGATCGACAATACGCATGCGCAATATAAATCCGCGCATCTCCGTATACTAGAAAAGTAGACCTCGCCCACCGTTCCGGATATCCCAGCGAGCGTGGGGCTCAGGTTCGTCTCTCCGCCATTTCTCTCTCCCCGCCCCGTATCCATGCACGCTCTCTCTCCTCACCCGGCCAGCCAGGCTCCATCTTTAGCTTCCCCACTCGTCCTCGTATCGAGAGGAAAGACGAGCAGCAGTAATGGGCGTCGCTGCAGCTACTCGTGTGGTCTGTCTGTCGGTGCTGTGTCTGTGTGTCGGCGTGAGGGGGTTCTACATCCCTGGAGTGGCGCCCACGGAGTACGAGGAGGGAGACAAGCTGGAGATTAAGGTCCGTTTGACCGTCTCGTGGGATGGGTTAGCGGATGGAGCGGGAGTGATGAAATGGGGGGTGGAAAGCAGTCATCAGACAATGCCTATGGCTTTTTCTTACCTTCCGTTCCTCTTAGTGAGGGTTTGTTTCTACATAGGGAGAGGAGAAATCAACAAATCACATCAAAACCAAGAAATCACTTTACAGTTACCACTGGTTGCATGTTCAAATAGCTGCATTTAGGAGTTGTGTAAATATTGCTGTGATCATTCCCCCTCCCCCTCCCTGCAGGCAGTAAAGATGACAAGTATAAAGACCCAGCTCCCATACGAGTACTATTCTCTACCGTTCTGTAAACCAAAGGACGGAGATGTACATTACAAGACACTCAACCTTGGTGAGCCACTCTCTATTATATCTAATGTATGGCTGGTTTAACTTACCTTTTGACAACTTTAAATGTCTCCCTTTTTCTCCCAACAGGTGAAGTGCTCAGAGGTGACAGAATAGTAAACACCCCATACCAGGTAACTTGGGCAGTCCTTGCAGCAGTGGGCATTAAATAGAATACCCACACCTGCTGGGAATGTAACCAGATCGCTTCATAGCACTTTGACCGTTAGCTATGCACCCACTGTCAGTAGGTACTGTATGTACTACGGACAGGGACACCCCATGAAACCGCATCGCATACGCATGACCCACAACCTCCTCCTCAACTACGGCCTCTGCAGAAAGATGGAGATCTACGTGAGTCTCGGGCACCAACTCTGTGGGATTACTGAAATGTTCACGTCTCCAGAAATTCCTATAGCGTCCCTATAATTGGACATGCAAGCTTGGAGAAAGAGAACTTTCGTGATAGCATAAAGTTTACACTCTATAATACGTAGGCACATGGATACAGAGGACAACAACTGCAGAAAAATATGCTAACGTTTGTGGGTCTAAAATAATGTGTAGGTGCATGTGCACCCAGTGCAGCTCTTCTTGTTATCTTTGAGAAAGAAAGAGCTGTCCTGGGTGTAGTTGACTTGTTTGCGTTGCCTTGCCTTTCTACCTTGCTACCAAGTTAATGTAATGGGAACAAGTTTATTTTCTCGTTCCAACTGTGAGCAAGGCTTAGGGTTTTCCGTACTTGTCATGTTTATACATAAAACTGCAATACATACGACATTCCACTACCCCTGTTGGGACTGATGAGGGTCTGTCCTCCCCTTCCACAGAGACCACACCCAGCCGTCTACGAGGAGATGACTCGTTACCATAGCGACGACTACATCCGGTTCCTCCGCACCATTCGACCGGACAACATCAACGAACACACCAAGCAGATGCAGAGATGTGTGTGTCATTGTAAGAATAGAGCCGTCTTACCAAAGTTGCAGAGAAGGGAGGGAGATTGAAAAGCTATATATATGGGGAGGAAAGTGCAGAGCAAAAATATGTGTAAACATTAGAGCTAGCTCCAGAGATTTATTGCTGGAGGATAATCACACAACATCTACTGTAGATGGTCCCAATAACAGCACACCTGCTTTTTCGGGGGTCAAAGTGTCCCCTGGGAAGCATATTATTTCAGGGGGACAAATGAAGAGATAGAGGGACTAATGTCCCCATCCGTGTGTGCTCTGGTGCCACTAGCCCTGCATTATACAAACATGTGTTTTGCAATAGAATTGTATTTGTGTATTGTGTTGTTGTGGTCAGTCAATGTAGGAGAGGATTGCCCTGTGTTTGACGGGATGTACGAGTTCTGCCAGCTGTCCAGTGGCGGCTCCATCGGTAACCACCTCCATCTCTCCTCTCTCCCTCTCTTTCTTGTTAATTTCTTCTTTCTCTTTCCACGCCCCCTCCCTCCTCATCTCAGTTGCATAAACCTCTACAGTGTGTAAAGGACTTGTCAGTTCATCAGTGTCTCTTGATTTTAAAGTCTCTTTGGCTATAACTGCATGCAAGCTTTAGTGAGACTATGTAGGGTACATACCTACGTATTTCCTAGCGTTGTGTTTGATTTGCAAGTCCACACTCCAGTACACACACCAGCAATATCAGACAGCGTATTAAAGGAAGGCAAATTTACTTGAAATGGATTCGTCCATTTGCCGACTGTCCAGTTCCTTTCTTCAGCTGTACATGTAGAAAACACCATGTGATGAAAGATGGGGGAGCTCTGGACAGCTGTTTCGGGCTTGTTGGCCCTAATTAGCAGAACATACCCCAACTTCTCTCTCTGGCATCACCAGTTTATAAAGGCTACCAGGAGCGCAGCACTTGTGGTTCTGAACTAATGAGATTCATCCCCACAAGGCACTGCTCAGGTTACCTGTACAACTATGTACTACATAAGGTTTAGTGTTGTGTTTAGTACACAACTTTTGATGCACGTGTGACTGTCTCTCAGGTACCACCAGCGAGTCCTGTACATTGACATAGACATTCACCATGGCGACGGAGTGGAAGAGGCATTCTACACCACCGACAGGGTCATGACTGTCTCCTTCCACAAGTACACGGAGAATACTTCCCCGGCACTGGGGACCTCAAGGTACTCTTTATACCAAGGTTTTGCACTATAGTATATACATACACTTTTCATTAGAACAGTGTTTTACTGTAAAGATTGTGGCAATGTAGTTCTAACGGATAAATGTTACTCAAGAAACCAAATCACATTCTTGCATTGGACTTTTTTAGTCCGATGTTTAGTAAATTTAACCCTTATGTATGTACTGACAAATTTGTCTTATGATGGGCCATGGCCTTCCTGTAAGCATGTAATGTATCCGTCACCTATTGGTCCGTCCCATCTGGCAACGGGACATGGGGCGGAGAAAGGGAAGTACAGTACTATGCATGTATGTACAACGTCACCTGTAACATGCTCCGTCCCATCTGGCAGCAGGACGTGGGGGCGGAGAAGGGCAAGTACTATGCAATCAACTTCCCACTGAGGCATCCAAAGGGTGGTGTGTCCATCACATTGTGATCACACATTTTCCTACTACAGTGTGTATGTACATACTGTATGTGTCTCTCTCTTGATTTATTCCCTCTCCCATATACCCATACCCAGTGCAGTGGTGTTGCAGTGTGGAGCTGACTCACTAGCTGGAGACCGCCTCGGATGTTTCAACCTCTCTCTTAAAGGTTGCTCTACAGTACACTGCATGTGTCAACTACGAGAGGCAAAGGCACAACAAACACGTCAACTACACCCAGGATTGAGGAACAGCAATGTGCAAAAGGCTTTTCTCCGAAACTCTACTGAATCACAGAATCACATACATACATACATATATGTCTTTCTCTATTTCACAGTAATCTGTCTCCCCCCTCTCTCCACAGGTCATGCTGAGTGTGTGGACTTCATCCGTCGCTACAACCTCCCTCTCCTGCTCCTCGGAGGAGGTGGCTACACCATCAGGAACGTGGCCCGCTGCTAGACCTACGAGACTGCCGTCGCTCTCAACTGTGACATCGCCAATGGTATATACACGTCATTCAGGACTTCATCCGTTAGAGCGCCTTGGGGGCCCTTAGTAGCGTCCTCGCTGTGCTCGCTTTGTACTACCCTAACTAACCAACTACATACAATGTACGTTTTCTCAGAGTTACATATTCTATGACGTCTCTCTCTAGAGCTCGACTGTTTGAGAACCTGAGACTCATTCCTCATGCTCCCAGTGTCCCCATGCAATGTACGTATGACATTACATCATTCTTACATCATCTCTTTCGTATTTCCAACATCTATCTTATTCCTCATGCTCCCAGTGTCCCCATGCAATGTACGTATGTTACTGATGTGTACATGTATGTGGTAAAACAGTTCACTATTTCACTACTGTACATGTTAGACTGTGTACTGTACATCTACAGCCATCCCAGAGGACATGATCCAGGACCCAGAACCAACTGAGGATGATCCCGACGAGAGGATTCCACGTGAGAACCAATCTCTCTCTCTTAGCATGTCTCTACAACTTGGTAACGAGGTAGAAAGGCAAGGCAAGGCAAACAAGTCAACTACACCCAGGACACCCAGGACACTTAGCATATGTACACATTATACATGTCCTCATGCTACATGATGCGACCATTTACTGTGCCTCGTTAATGAACTTGTAGAACTATATGTCCCCCCCCTGCAGAGCATGTCCAGGACAAGATGATAGCCAGAGAAGAGGATCTCTCTGACAGCGAGGACGAGGGAGACGGCCGACGCAACGAGAGTGTCGGTCACCACGACAACAAACGATTGCGTCTGGCCGACGAGGGGGGAGACAATAAGGCCCCTGCCGTTAGCAAAATAACAACAGGTCAGAGTTTTAGCAGGGAAACTGTAGGCACTAAGGGCTAAATTTAGAGAATGTTGCTAAAAAATAGAAACCTTACCGCATTCTTACACTTGGGTCCATTGTTTTGTTCCTTCTTTAATAGTTTAGCCTATGTATTAGAACATTCCCATTAAATACCCTCCTCTTTTTAAGGATCATCCTCAGGGTCAGAATCATCCTCAGTTGGTTCTGGTCCTCCACTGCATGCATTCTTACTCTACAGCCCATTGTTTTGTTCCTTCTTTATATTGGTTTTATTGTGTTCGAGCACAGCAATGACGCTACTAGTAGATTTAATGTTCATTATATACAAGTAAATTAAAATCCTGTAAATTTAGAAAAGAGGTATACAGCCCCATACATCTATGATGCTAGATACCATACCATGCCCATCCCTATATACTAGTACTTAGTGATGTATGTAGTTTCCATGGACAAAGCTATGGCGCACGTGCACGCAGTTCTAATTCGGGTGAACTGAAAATGGCAAACCAGCCTCCCCTCCTTCCACCATTTCTTCCCTGCTATAACTGTCACTGCAGGTGGAGGGAGCATCCAGAGTCCCGTACCCCCGGAGCCATCTCCCATCACCCCCAGTCCTCTGGTCACGCCACACAGCCAGGAGAGCAAGGCTGAGACTGCCCAGGAGAAGACTGGTGAGACTGAGTCGTATGTATGTGCATCCATACATCCTATCGCTCAATTTTGGTGTCACTTTACCAATCAATATTTGCGTTTTTTGTAGGCACATGAATTGAAGTAGAGACAAACCAACTACTCTTAATGCTTTTACTATAGTTGGACTATGGAATTCTCTGCACCCTTCTCGCTTTAGCAATCCTTGCTCGCCTCAATTTTGGTGTTGCTTTAGTGCATTTTTTGTAGCAACAGGAAAAGAAGTAGAGACTAACTAACTACTAGGCTATGTATGTAGTTGGACTATGGAATTGAAGTAGAGACACGCGCTCTAAAGTGTAATTTAAACCTCTTAGAAAAGGGCAACTTCTTTATGGCAAAAGTGGAGGTGTCATTATATTTTTAGCAGCTACTCTACTGTATGTGTATATAGTTTTCTCATCTCTCCTCTGTTCCTGCAGCCAAGTCAGCCAGCCCGGGACCAGAGGCTGCAGACTCCAGTGAGGCCAAACCTGAGAAAGAAGGTCCTGCCACGATGGGAGAGACGGTGGAAGAGGGAGACGAGGGGGAGATGACAGGGGTGGGGGAGGAGGAGGGGGCTTACATGGAAGGCATAACTCAACCCCCAGAACTCAGGACTTCTGCGCATGCGCGTTATCAGCGCAGCCGCAAGTCTTTACCACAAGTGTTCTGTTCACTTCAGAGTATATAAGTAGCCCTCACCGCCGATCTCTACCACTTCAGTTCTCACTCTCTCCTAAGCGCCCTCCATTTATGACAACCCACTATGTTCCTTCTCTTACGGCAAATCCTCCGCATCATCCGTCTTTACCTGTCCCCTCACCCGGTCCCTCAAGTCCACCGCCGTCCCCCGAATACGTCCTCCCACTCTGGGGCATCTATAAACCTAAGTCTCTCTTCGGTGGAAGCAAGTACTCCAAGACACACTTCCGAAGGCAGTTCATTATCAGTTGCAAAGACGTTGAATCTACACAAGCAGCCATCATCGCTCTCAAAGACGAATTCCCCACTGCCAGATTCCTCAATTATACGGATTGCTATGATAAACCAGCGCTCCTCGTACACCTGCTCCACCGGCGACCTGAAAAGAAGATCCTTGAGGCTCTAAATCCACATGGTCTCAAAGTTCAAACAGTCCTTGGTACTCAAAGACACATCATGAAATATCACGAAGAACGTCTAACCGACACTCGCCCATCAGACGATCCTAATCGCAAACCTTGTTCACATTGTTTTAAATTGTATCAGTCATAAAAGTCATTCTAAAAGTATCATTCTAAAAGTCTAAGCTAGGGCTTCAGCCATAGCGCATAAAAATCATAAAGCACCCTGCAGGGGATCTAGAATTAGGAAAGAAAGGGCTATCGATCAACTACTATAACTAAATCAACAAACCACATCCCAAGCTCACCGGTAAGAAATAATGTTAAAGGAATAAGGTGACTGTACATCCTAAGACGTAGTCTTACCGAAGGCATCGACCCGGCCCCCAGCGACCCACCCCTTATTTGGGCATCCCCTCTACTCAGGTGTCTTGCGCGCAGACAAGGTACAACAGTCCCACAAATCATGAAAATGTGCTTTATCTTAGTGCGAATGTAAGACATTTTCCTGTTTACAGTGCAATAGCACAATGATCAATGTTAGCGCTAGGAAACATTCTGTGAGGATGGCATGTGAGGAACTATCACCTCTGGCCGTTCTCAAGAATAAGTTGTATGTACACTTTTCATCTTGGATCCGGAATAGCTGAGATTGATATTTTCTGTGTTGTATTCCAGTCCCCAGCCAGAAGGTGACTCATCCCAGCAACAGGCCACACCCACCTCGTCAGAGGAGCCAATGGAACACAGACACTGTGTCTCGTGCTGTGTGTTTTCAGACTCTCTCACTTCACATAGTGTCTGACTGTGTACAGCCTTATTCTGTCTTACAACCTACATCAATCTGACTTGATGTAATAATCTTTTGACAAACTTACATACTGATTCATAGCTAATTGCATGCTGGTTTGTTGACGTTGCCTATCCTTTCTGTGTATTATTTTCCTGAGACATGTGCTGTTATTACCCTCGGACGCATGCGCAGCGACGGTTACGGTATTTTGCGCGTTATAATACTTGGCTATCATACTAAGTCCCGTCAGATGCTATTGTCGGACTTGCAAACAGAAGAGAGGTAAATACTGCACAAAGAGGTCGTGGCCTGGAAGAAGCCTACTGCTCATGTTACTGTTATAGCAACTTGTCACATGATATCATCAATGATGAATTACGCCATACTGAAGACAGTGTGTGTCCCATTCAGATGTGCAGTGCGTATGCATGTACACTGTGGCCATGATAGATACGTAACACATGGTGTGCTATTCTGTCTGACGTTTTAATGCAAGAATGAATCTACAACACTAGTGATAACAATGATGAACTACAAGTTGTCAAGTCTTTGCAACCTCTGATCCACGTCATTAGGCTGAGTAATTTTATAGCCGAGATGCGAGTCTGGTGTACAGCCGAGTTGTCCGCGAGTTTTGTCTCCATTAGCGCACATCGTGGGCGGCCCAGACGCGTCACCTCCCACACGTCTCTCTCGATCGAGATGTCGGTGGCTGCGATGGCGTCTCTGCTGGATGCGCCACTCTAGGCTCCACTCAATAGGAATAATGTGGAAGTCCGCAGTGTTTTCAATGATAATCCAGGGTCGTCCATCGCGCCGAGTGATCCTGAGAATGAGATATCTCTGACTTGTGTCGATGTACACGATCCATCCCCTGCCATCCAGGCAGGTGTGCAGACCACACCGTCTCGAGACTACACTAAGTGGTGCTGGTGAACGGTGAGTGATGGATGTGTACCAAGTCTCTCGATATGCAAAGACCAGGATCACAACACAGCATCCACGTATGACCAGCTACAAAACAGTTTGTCACCATCGTGTGTTGTGTCTGCGAAGGATCCTCATCTAATATGAGTGATCATGTCTTTTGAGCTCATGTTCAATTTTAGTTGTAGGTATTAATGCGTAAAGTGCCTGACTTGACGAATGCATTTTCAGTAAAGTGTTAACCGAGAATCTGTTTAGTGTATTATGGCCAATTCAGAAGACTAGTATATAGGCTTTACCTTGCTTACCAATTATGAACATGACAGCCTTGTGGGACAATATGTCATCCTCTCCTTCACTCTATTGTTTGGTAGAGGAGAGGTCCTTGGGAATGAGCTACCCACCACCCAGTTCTCTAGGCTGGGCATCTGGTGTCCCACTCTCGTGTACAACATGTCGTGTAGTGTATAATTGTACTGTTACGAACTTTTTGTTGTGTGGTGGTTCATTAACGGCCCTTAGTAAAATTAATGTGAGTTTCTACGACATATTTTAATAAACAAGTTCTCACATGTGAGTGCGTACTAAGGTTGTTTCTGCAGTAGAGCAAATGTACAAGTGTCTTTGTTGTGCATGTCTCTCTCATCATTGGCAGAGCCTGGAATGAGACTTAGTGTTAGTTGTCACTCCAGACACACTCCTAGATCTTCCATGGTCTCCAGTCTATCTGACAGCACTGTACCTCTAGAGAGAGAGGAAGCAACTGTTTGTGATCACTGCACACACAGACACACACTCCATGCAGCCAGTACTTTGCCATACATACATACTACATACAGCCTACAAAGTCCTAATGGTCTTCTCCATGTCTAGAATTAATTAAGGTGACAAGATAGGATTGTGTCTACTACCGTTTAGGCACATGTCTCTTTATCCTGTGTATTATGGTATGTAACAGTGGGTGTGTCAACTGATATTCATTACAGTCACATGTCACACTAGGATTCCTTATTCACATCAGAATGAAATATTATACCATGTGTAGTTGTGTTGTTAGGTACCTTGCGACCTCGTTGCTTTTTACATACTTTATATATGATAATATGCATTCACACATGTCTCTTTCTCAATTAGTAACTACCTAACATCAATGTCATTAAGTCTCTCCATAATATGCTGGTTCTCTCTGCATTATTGAGAGTTGCTAATTAATTTTTCCTAGTCAGTGACAGTACTATTTGTACATGATATGTTACGTGATTACATATTTTCTCAGAGTGTTGGAGTGACTGCCACTCTACCTGATGTGGTGCCTCCTTACCTACCACGGTATGAGTCTGGACCCCATGAGTGGAACTATAAGTACACATCATTTTGGCACAATGGGAGGGTGCTGTCTTCTGGTCTTCCTAATCTCAACGATATCAAACCTCATCAAAGAGTCGGACTTCTTCTCACTGCTAGTGGTGATCTTCATGTCTTCTTCGATAGACGCCACGTGAAAAAGGTAGCATAACGGGCTCGGGGAGTGTCAGCATGCTCACAATGTGTACATAATTATGTATACCATTCCTTATATACCATCCCTTTCTCGTCTCTCTTCCTTTTCCTCTTCTTCCTTTTCCACATATTATTTAAAGGTAGCATCTGGTCTGCCAGTAAACAACCATCTGTGGGGAGCAGTGGATGTGCGTAGCAACTTTACCAAGATCAAATCTGAGCTACTGAGTGGTGAGTTGGATGGTATAGCATTCATGTTATCTGTATACATGTATTTTTAGCATAATATGACAGTATAAAATCAAGTACTACTTGACATGTACATTCATAGTATTGTAAAACATATTTTCCGTTTGTACTCTATACTAGGACATGTAGGTGTTGTGTGCAGCTGTAATTTTGTCTCCTAGGAAACAGTATTGTAAGATTCTTGTGCATGTATGCATGTTCTGTATGTATATACACTGTTGCTATATGCTGTATACTGGGACTGGTACATAGTAAGAGGATTTGTACAGCATGATAAATAGTAGGAAACATGCATTCTAGTACATTTTTAGAAGGGAAGGTCAGGCAAAGGAATTTCCACTGCTGCATCTCATGGTCCAATGTCTGCTACATTTGTTATTTACAAGTATAATTATACACCTATGTGTGTATGTGTAGAGTGTTGTGTGTTGAGCATAGTGCATGGGCAGGCACTCAGGCACTGCGTATTTCTCAAGCAACGGCCTATGTGGTCATGTGAATCACATTTACACAGCGACATGTGCTGAAGAACACAAATGTAATTTGTTATGAGCCATGACATCTCCCCAAGTGTGCATGTTTGAAAAATGCACATTGAATTATGTGATTGATGTGGTCCCTTCTTTTATCAATGCAGCAATTACATGCTCCAACTTACATGTAATTATGTATTTTGTAATTATCAGTATGGTGTATGGAGTTAAAGTACAGTATGGTGTTTTGCATGCACAGTGAGGGTACAGTAGTTGGGTCTGTGTGTCTGTGTGTACATGTATGAATGTATTTTTAATTATTTGTACACACAGTATAAAATCAACTCTCTTTGTATATTATACTAGTCAAGATGTGCATGCATAGATGTTATGATAATTTTCCAGTTTATACACATGGCAGGACATCTAGGTATGTATTGTGTGCAGCTGTAATTAGTATCACAGTCATGTAGGATGTAGATAAGAAAACAGACCATCAATTATGACATTCTTTGCATACTTAAAGTAAATTTTGGACGTAGTTTATACTAGGACATGTAGGTGTTGTGCAGCTGTAATTGTCTCCTAGGAAACAGGATCCTGAGAGTCTTGTGCATGTATGCATGGTCTGTATGTAACTGTGTTTTTGGCTATACTGTATACTGGGATTGGTACAAAAGGATTTGTACAGCATGATAACATGTGGGAAACATGCATTCTAGTAACTTTTTTAGAAGGGAAGGTCAGGCAAAAGAATTTCCACTGCTACATCTCATGGTCCAATGTCTGCTACTTTTGTTGGACTGTTTTAGACGTGTTTATCCATAAGCATCGACTCATACAGTTACCACCCAGAGCTTTAGTGCAGGAGAAATGCACTGATAGTTAATCACGTGATCCATGTGGTCCTATTATTTGTGACCAAAGCAAGCCTACCTATAGTCCTCAGAATGCGGGATATCCTGCGTGTGTGCGGGGACGGACACTGCACATACAGTAAGGTTGTATTTACGTGATTCTAAATGCATACGTTAAAAACTGCTCGCACTCGCTAGCAAATAATGTGTGGCTTTCGTGTCTTCATGTTGGTGTTTTGCCCCACATACATATTAGCAGTTGTAAGTTGATCCTCTTCATCATTGGCCTACTTTCCAGTAAACCCTTTAAATTAGGTATTTGTAACCTGCATTCACAAAAACAAAAAAACTTGTGGTACACATGTATGGTGTTAAGTTCGTGTAGTGTTTTTTGCCTACATCAATGAAAAGCACTGAAGTGCTAAACCCTCGGCGTGGAGTCCCACAGTGGGGGCTATGACGCCAATACACGTTTGCTCAAACATAATATGTGTGGTCCGGGTTTATACGTTGGTTTGTGATGAGCGATAATAAATAATTTGATCACAGTTTGTCCGTGCCATGACATATTATCATAAACGGTACAGTGTCTCTGATCCGAGAAAGCGCGCAAGAGCACTAAAGTTATGTGGTGACAAGATGCAAAACGGAGTTAGGTACAGGCTGAGCTTGATCAGAGCTAGAGTAGAGGGCTTTGTGGGTTGACCCGGGCCGTGCACTCTATAGCACTGCAGAAAAGTGCCGATTTCCACACAAGCACACGCGTGGCGCACTATGATAAACACATGCACATTGTCATGTCTCGCTCTCTCCCGGTCCTCTGCCTCCTCGCTCGCACTAACCGCCGGCTCGCTCACCACCCGTCGATCGTGCATTGCTCGTGCTGCCTAGCTGGAACCGTAGGGAGTGTTCGGTATTCTCACTATATCCTCCGAAATGTGCCTGACGGCAAAAGCGGTCGAGGTAGGCCATGGTGATGGTACACATTAGCATATTGGCTTTTTCACGCCATAACTTTTGAATGCGGTACTTTTATGAAAATCGCCAGTTAATGAAGCCAGTGTAGCGCTGAACCCGTTGGTGTCGCTTTTTGGCCGGCTTGTTGCGCGTGGTGGCAGAAAACGTGGTAACAGACAGACAGACAGACAGACACACAGAACGACTACCGTAACCCTCGCTGCGCATGCGCGCCGCCGAGGGTTAATGAAAAGCACTAAAGTGCAAACCCTCGGCGAACTGCGCATGCACGGTATATACCACTAATTGATGGCTGGGCTTTTAGTATGTCTTTACTCGTGGTCTCCCACTACATCAATTACTACATTCTTAAGGCATAAGCTATGCAACTTGGTGAGAAATTATGTGACCTCACAGTGTGTTGCTTACCCCAAAGGGTTTTAGAAGCAATTAATGGAGGGAGGGTCAACTGACCACTTGCCACACATTCACTTCCAAAAGACTATTTGCCTAAGTATATGCACTTCTGCCTCATCAGGCCACACTCAATACCACTTACCTGACAATCAATTACGACATTCTTTGCATACTTTAAAGGAGTAGTTTATGTTTCACCAGTTCACCCTTCAACACTGTGCCTATAAGTCTTCATCTTTGCTCCTACATTTTATGATCATTTCAGATCCAACAGCAGCAATCTTGAGAGAAGCCATGAAGGATGGCTACATTCCCCACAAAGACGACCTGTTCCTTATTCACGGACCAGGAGGGGTGGGCAAGTCAAGTCTCATTTCCATGTTCCTCGGGAAACAGAGAGATCTGGCTCGTGTCAGCACTGCAGTCGCGGAAGAGTCCCTCCACCTCTGTCCCGTCCGAGATGTGTCAACCTCAACCTTCACTGGTCAGTGGGAACTGGTGGACATCGACCGTCAGGCACGCATGGTTGCCCACACCAGTCGACACCTTCTCACTAGTGAAGGTGTTCAGAGAATAGAAGAATACAAAGATAAGCCTAGTGAATCAGCCGAAAATGAGGGGCAAGTCGAAGCTTTCCTTGCGTCTCCTCCCGAATTACAACAAACACCACCAAAGAAGGGCGAGTTTGCAAAGATAGCTTCCAAGCTCTTTGCTGGGCTGAGAAAATTGGTGAGGAGATCACACCAGGCTGCAACCCCCGAGGCTGAACCCCCCCTGGGAGATGACCCCGACAATATTGAGGGTCTGTTTGCTCGTTTCAACAAAGGTCTCCTGGACATCATCCGTGATCCGCATGATTTGGCCGAACTGCTTCTCTACTACTCCATCCGCCTGCTTGACTCGGGAGGCCAGCCACAGTTCCACGAGGTCGCATCCATTGTCTTGCCTGCTGTCACGGGCATCATCTCAGTCTTCAAGCTCTCTGAGCCTCTTGCTGTTCACGGAGAGGTGGTGTTGTACAAGGATGGGGTACAGGCCAACGATCCTTACGAGTCGTACCTCACCAATGAGCAAGTGATCCGTCACGATCTCCTTGCCATCCAGTCGGATGTTAGCCAGAAAGGGACGGAGGAAATGCCCAATCTCGCGTTTGTGGGCACATTTCTTGATCAGCAGGATGCCTGTCCTGAAGAAACTCCCGACCAGAAGGACGAGCGGCTGCACTCCATGATCACCGAGATCCTCTCGAAGGACATGCAGCAATGCGTCATTAGCAGTGGGTCTCTGCGACACGTTGCATTCCGGGTCAATACTAGAACACCGACAGAAAAGGATTACGAAACAACGGGACAGCTGAAGGATGCACTCATGAGCCAGTCGCGAGTCAAGCCCAGAAACCTGCCTCTCAAGTGGTGTGGGTTCGAAGTAGCTCTTCGCAAAATGATGGAGCAGCTCAACCGTCAGATTCTGAGTGTGCAGGAGTGCGAGTTCATTGGCTCTAAGCTTGGCTTCGATCCCCTATCCCTAAAGGCTTGCCTCAACTACTTGCGCCAGCTCCACATCCTATCGTTCTACGATGTCCTACCCAAAGTCGTCTTTGGCAGTTGCCAGGTGATCCTGGACAAAATCACTGAGCTTATCGTCTACAGCCTACAGCTGAAGAAAGGGGATCGGTTTAGCACTGGGGTCGACCGGAAGTTCCATCAGCAGGGAATCCTATCGCTGGACATCCTCCAGTCAAAAGCCTGCTCCAAGCACTACAGCAGCAAGTATTTCGTACCAGAGGACCTGCCGAAGGTTCTCAAGTCGCTTTTCATAGTCACAGAGGTAGGGCCAGGGGAGTACCTCATGCCTTGTGTTCTGGAGGTCAGCGACATCCTTCCATCTCCCCCAGTTCCTAAAGGCAACGTCCGATCTTCCTTTGTCCTCCACTTCTCCAAGAAGAGCCCTATGCTTGGAATATACTGCTGCACCATCTCCTACCTGCTGACTGCGGCTGGCTGGAAGCTGTTGGCAAGGCATGGGGAGGTAGTTCAGGTAGCTAGGAACAGCATCACTTTTGAACTGCCGCAAAATCTTCCCGGGAAACTCACTTTCCTCGATCCCCTTTCTTCGTACCTGGAGGTAGCTGTCGATCTTCCAGCTGCTGTTGCTGCACAGCACAGCACAATGCTCTACAAGGAGATTGGTGGCACATTTGTCAAAGCAATGAAGAGTGCAATGCAAACCCTCCACTATGAGGTGAGGACACCAGAACTGTCCTTCCTGTGCCCTGAGCAGAGCTCTCTATGCTCCGACTTCCCTCATCTTGCCACACTCAATACCACTCACAGCCTTCTCACCTGCTCCCGCAGTCCACACTGCGTGGCCCATCCTCTCACTCCTGACCAGAAGATGTGGCTCCCCACTCCTGCAGAAGGTAAGTTTGTCATACTGAGAGACAGGTTTCATAGCATAGAGGTTTGCCTTTGCCTTGTGTTGTGTTGGTATTTAGCCTTGCCTGCTTAGCAGCCCTGGTATTCTGCCTAGGGAGCATTTGCCATTGGGTTCGAGTCCCAGCTCATTGAAAGAGTGGTGTTGTTGATTTGTTTCACCTTGCCTTAGGTTTAGCTACACCCCGAGATTCATTCAAGTATGCTTCCAGCTACAGTGACAGCTACTGTTTCTCCTCGCAGGTCCTGAAAAGAAGACAAAACCAAGACGACAGAAAAAAGCCACCGCAGCTCCTCCTATATCAAGTATGTATTTTGATCTGTCACAGAAATTGTCAATACTTTTAGAGAGAAAACTATACTCAAATTGCACTTAAGAATGATTCCCTCTGTTTTTCAAATGCAGTCATAGGTGATCAACCAACCGACTGACTTTGATAGATTTGCCTTTATGAGTTGGAGCATATTGCGACAAAAATAGGCCATGCAGGACCCTGACACCTTATCCAGCATGTTGCCAACCTATTGAACCTAGTCTAACAACTCCCTTTGTCTCCACAGTCTCAGCTGAGAAACCAGATCTCCTCCAACTGCTTAAAATCGATTTACCTTCCCGAGTTGCACCCAAGATCAATGCTTTCGGGACATTTCTCCTCCAAGACAGTCTCGGGAACAAGATGGAGATTATCAGAGGCAATCATCAGGGAAGACTGGAGGAGATGGCAATGGAGGTTCTGAGGGAGTGGCTGGCAGGGAAGGGGGTGGAGGTGTCGTGGGAGAGCCTCATAGCAACTCTGAGGGAGAGCAAAGACTCCTTCATGGCCGACCAGATACAGATTGCTCTGGACAATCTTAGATCTTAATACTTTATACACGTGTGGACAATTATTTTTGTATATCTCTTATAATTATTTGTATCATTTTTTTGACATAGTCTGACACGAAAATCATATTTAGTGTGTGATATGCTTGTACATGATTTTTTTTTGTGTTCCGCGCACATTGCAAGTTTAATAATCCGATGGTGATACTGAGAGCTATGTCATAGGTTATATGTCGGGAAGGGGGAAGGTTATAGATCGGCGCGTGTCTACTGGTTGTACATCGAGTGGCCAGTTTTGTAGTGGCACTAGGGCGTAGTGCAGTGCCCTATCAAACTGAAGCCACAGGTGCAATCATAGACCACAAGGCCAATGTCTCGTATAACGTTTTTTGTATGAGACATCCGGCGGTAAGACCTGACCAATGACATTGCGCAAAGCGTTCAAACGCCCTCTTTTTAACGCAGCACCCTCGAGTGTACGTGTACGGAGAGCTAGAGAGCTATAGCTAAGCGATCGACCGGGAGAGAGACAGCTGCAATAAGCCTTGAGTTGGTCAAGCTGGGCGGTTGGCAGAAGCCATGGTCATTCTCGAGAGTTCAACGTTACAGGTAGGTCACAGCTATACTTTTTCGGCTGCTAGACTCCACACGAGTTTTGTAGCTCCCGCTCTGGCTCGCTTCTCTCCCGCTATACCCAGCACTCTCGAATGCAGCCTGTTACAGTAGCAAGAAAGCTGAAAGTCACCCGAATACTGTTCCAGTCCACGGGAGCCTACGCGTCGGGAAGCTTTCGCTAGTTTTCAGACCGCGTATATACTAGAGCAGTTTCTGGCCATTCTAGCCTGAAAACACTCCCTTCTGGTAAAGAAACAGCAGCACACAAAGAGTGTAAAAGCCCCCAATTGCATTCCACGCTGCCAATTTCCTACTATCGTCTAACTCCTGTAGACCCACTGTGGTTTATGCAAATGAGTTGACATACAGCTAAAGTATGGGAAAATTGTATGGCCTCTTTATGTTCTAACTACTCGCAGACTGAGCCGGAAGCGCTCACTACGCACCTACGTTGTTTGGACTAGCTGGAATTCCTTTGATCTTACTCTGAGTCATCATACAAGTGCAGTATATACAGCTGCATTGTGTTTGTGTGTCATTATCTACCATATATACCTCATCTGTGGTGCCAACTGCTGTTTATCGCAGTAGTTACCCTCGGCGCGCATGCGCAGCGAGGGTACTGTAGTTGGGTTTAGGGCTGAGGAAATTATGCTCAAATATTTGAATTTTATTCTACTCCTGGATTCTTCGATTATGTGCAATTTATGCTCTTATTTTTACCAAATAATGCTTGAAATTTTGAACATAGTATATCAGTTAAGGTATATTATATATAATAGAGTGCAGTTATAGTCTGAATCCCAATGTAGATACTTAGACGTATAATACTTTCGTAGGCCCAACGATTTCGCATATCAACAATACGCATGCGCAATATAAATCCGCGCATCTCCGTATACTAGAAAAGTAGACCTCGCCCACCATTCCGGATATCCCAGCGAGCGTGGGGTTCAGGTTCATCTCTTCGCCATTTCTCTCTCCCCGCCCCGTATCCAGGCACGCTCTCTCTCCTCACCCGGCCAGCCAGGCTCCATCTTTAGCTTCCCCACTCGTCCTCGTATCGAGAGGAAAGAAGGACAGCAGTAATGGGCGTCGCTGCAGCTACTCGTGTGGTCTGTCTGTCGGCGCTGTGTCTGTGTGTCGGCGTGAGGGGGTTCTACATCCCTGGAGTGGCGCCCACGGAGTACGAGGAGGGAGACAAGCTGGAGATTAAGGTCCGTTTGACCGTCTCGTGGGATGGGTTAGCGGATGGAGCGGGAGTGATGAAATGGGGGGTGGAAAGCAGTGATCAGACAATGCCTATGACTTTTTCTTACCTTCCGTTCCTCTTAGTGAGGGTTTGTTTCTACATAGGGAGAGGAGAAATCAACAAATCACACCAAAACCAAGAAATCACTTTACAGTTACCACTGGTTGCATGTTCAAATAGCTGCATTTAGGAGTTGTGTAAATTTTGCTGTGATCATTCCCCCCTCCCCCTCCCTGCAGGCAGTAAAGATGACAAGTATAAAGACCCAGCTCCGTACGAGTACTATTCTCTACAGTTCTGTAAACCAAAGGACGGAGATGTACATTACAAGACACTCAACCTTGGTGAGCCACTCTCCATATCTAATGTATGGCTGGTTTAACTTACCTTTCGACAACTTTAAATGTCTCCCTTTTTCTCCCAACAGGTGAAGTGCTCAGAGGTGACAGAATAGTAAACACCCCATACCAGGTAACTTGGGCAGTCCTTGCAGCAGTGGGCATTAAATAGAATACCCACACCTGCTGGGAATGTAACCAGATCGCTTCATAGCACTTTGACCGTTAGCTATGCAACCACTGTCAGTAGGTACTGTATGTACCACAGCCTATGAACTTATCATCCACTTTTCCTGACAAAAGTGTTGGGTATAATATGATGTAACATTTTCATATCTCTCTCCCCTCCTCCCAGCTCTCAGTACTGAAGGATCAATACTGTATGATACTGTGTGAGACGGAATTGAACCACAAACAAGTCAAAGCCTCAGTCAGAGAATTGACGAGGACTACACTTTATCACTGCAGTCTCTCCCTCCTCTTACTCTCTCTACGTTAAAATGGTCGTGAAATTCTAACTAAACAGATGCTGTTTTCTGACGATTTGTCGCCTCTCTCACAGCTGCAGACAACTCTCGCCGTCAGCCACAGGGTCAAGACCCTAAAGAGTGGAGATTGCTGTCATGTAACGAGGACGGGTTCAAACCGGTTCTCGGTCACTAGTCATCGTCGTCTTAACAACCACCTCAAGTCAGGATCATAGTACCACGGCGGGAGGCCACCTCCGAGCTGGCGAAAGTGGAGGAAGGAGAGAGGAGGGTGTCCCGCGCCCGTCAGTTGTTAGCAACTCATTCTTCCAGTTATTGTCATCAACATGTCAAACTCAATCACACTGATTTCTGCTGCAAATCACAGCGGGAAAGGGAAAGGGGGAAGGGGGGGGGGGGATTAAACAGGCCATGTGGGGCCTAATAATTCCTCGCACCCACCAACGACTTCGTGCGCTATATATACTGAGTACGGTATTTCTAGAAGGCTTACGTCGCAATGCTGTATGTTCATATTGCATATGGACTACGAGTAACAGTATCATTCATATATTACACCTGTCATGACAATAGTTTGGACTTCACTCAGTGGTCTATGTTAAAAATATGTTGAAACGCACTAAGTGTGAGAAATTTTGGTCTTATAATCAGAATTAACTAAACCGTGGTCCCGAAAAACAAAATTGGTAAGTTCAATACACTCATACGTGATGGATGGAACTGGGCTAATGGTTGAAAAACAGTAAATCATAATTTTTTTCTGTCGTCCGCAAGAGGTACGACCTCAACTCGTGTGTGGGTCAAGAGATAAATTTGCATATCTCTCCCCCCATCTTCAGACCAGGAGACGAATTCTAACTCGTATCGTGGGTTCGAGGTGGAGCCTCAGCGCATCCACAGCAGTGCAGTCTCCAACACGCTCCGACGATCGCTGTATCATCACACAAGACTACCTGAAAGTCATGGAACTGAAGACTCCAGTTAGGAAGTAAGTTAGTCCTCTCCTCAAGGTGCGCGACCTCGTTCCGTCGCTAACATGGTTACGTAATTCACCCACCGGAAGTCACCTTTTTTAGGAAGGTGGGAGGTCAGAGTAAGCAGATTGCAGTTACTCCAATACTATTAGCATTCCTTGAAACGTCCATTCAGTTTATTGTGTGCCCGCATGTTCATCACATCTGTTTGTCCTCTTTGCTATCAGAGGAGAAGAGGAGTTGCCGCTGATTGTTCACTAACGGATTCTATTCTGTGGTGTGGAAGAGAGACGTGAGCGCTGGCATGGCTCTCACGATGGACACTTCTATCCTCTGCCATGAGTGATGTCCAGATTGCACTGGTTTGACCATCTGCACACACTCTGTCAGCGCATCGTTCATGTTCCTCTCATGGTGTCGTGCGTGTCCCCGGGTGTCCTGATTAGTTAGTGGGTGTCGCTGATTATGTTAGTGGGTGTCCTGATTAGTTAGTTCGGGTGTCCTGAGGTTAATTAGTGGGGTGTCCTGAGTAGATATAGTGGGGGGTGTCCTGATTATAAAAATCCATGCACGTATAAAACCTAAAGCCGCGTTCACATAAGGTCGTCACTAAGCATCCTGGAATGCCTCAACGCCAGGTGCCTTCTAATCATTGATGTACCCTTGACATTGACCTGCGATCTATGCTGTTCCTCTGCTTAACACCCCTCCTCGCGCACCCCAGGTATCCTAGGCACTCATCATAGTGAGGACTCTGAGAAGAGACATTGGCACGTACAACAAGATGAAGAAGTCTTAAGCGACTTATAGGTAGCCAACACACACAAGTCTCATGGTCAACTCGCAATGTATGGGTAAGTCGCTTGGGCAATATTAAGTGCGTATATTAATGGGGGCAACATGGTGGCACAAACCATAACATTGAGGCCTGCAC